AGTTCACATGCTTAGCTGAAAGTATATACAAAGACAATATTACTATGGGGGTTACAGATTCACAATAAAAATAACGTTAAAGAGCTTTCTCATTCTCTCTCTCTCTCTCTCTCTCTCTCTCTCTCTCTCTCTCTCTCTCTCTCTCTCTCTCTCTCTCTCTCTCTGTGTTTTTAAGGCCAGTGAGGTGTCAGGCATACTATGCTAGACTGATGTTTTGAATAGAGCAATAGACACTAAATGGATGATGTGGACAACATCACACCAACCGTCTTTACTTCCCATGACCTTATCTTATTTCAATTTTAGGCTGTTTCAACCTGCAGCTGAGGTAAATTTAAAAACAAAAATTCGACTTTATAGGGATTCGAACCCATCGGGCCGACAAACGAGCGTGTGGTCACTACACTACCGTGGCTGCCATATTAACAATAATGATATAAACATTCAACAGTCTTAGTCCCAGAGTAGATCCTGCCGGTGAGGAATGAAGTGCGAGGCCTTTACATGTTCTAAGCCACGGCACATTCGATAGGAATAGTCAGTTCCTTTCCACCCTGCCTTTTCTTTCTAGACAACACCCATACATTTCTGGAAATTTTATGGTGCCCATTTTTATGAGACTGGGTCGATCCCGGAGCCATACTGGTAGGAAACATTCCTGCTACGTCATGAGATTGAACCAGGACCATTGTATCAACAGGCAAGAGCACCAACTACTGTGCCACAGTGGCATATTTGTATTTTATTATATATAACAAGTACCACCACCATAGCTCCGTCATAGGTCATTCGTTGCTCCTTCGGTGTTATCTTGTATAGGCTATCCAACCGACAGATAAATGATTCCTGTAAAAAGCACTAGATATTACTCATATTATAAATGACACTCAAACCTCTTTATCACCAACTTGTCTAAGAAGAACTCTCGGTTTACATGAATTTAGGTCCAAGTAGGAATGTATTATTATTATTATTATTATTATTATTATTATTATTATTATTATTATTATTATTATTATTAATCCTGGGTTAAGATGGATTGTTAAACACAAACTCGATTTTCGATGCCTTAGAATCTATGTCAGGTTTTATCATAGTGTATTCTCTAGCCACCGGAAAGCTGCAGTGACCGCCTCCACCTCCATGTGATGTGCGAAGCCATACCTATTTGTATGTTCACTTTTTTTCGAGAACATAAATGTCTATTTCCTAGACAGTCAAGATTGTTCAGCTAAGAATAAATGTATGTAGACTATCAATACAACTCAGGCTAAGGGTCTGCCTCTATCTCCATTCCCCTATCAGACGCTGTTACCTTGAATCTGCCCTGTCTAAAGATGACATGTTTTATGAAGATAACATATAATCCCTACGATGGCTGCTTTCCCGGCGGCTAATACGATACACCTGTACGAACCATAGCCTCGTTTTCACCGAGTCTAACAGTTAATCATATGTGTAACTCTTTTATCACCCTACCATAGTGGCCATTAACCTATATGTCTGCCCGGAGGCTAAAGGGAGAAAAGTTTTTACCAGGAAAATTAACCTAATTTTACAGAGTAAAAACACTCTGACGTGGAATTTTCTTTGAGAAATGAGATGCTCATAACTTTTTGAATCTCCGTTTTCTTTTACATTCTGTAAGCTGTTCCAAGGATCAGTAAAAGATCCGTTCCCACGCCTTGGGTAATATAGTTTTAGTCCTATTATTATTATTATTATTATTATTATTATTATTATTATTATTATTATTATTATTATTATTATTATTATTATTATTATTATTATTATTTTTATTATTATTATTATTTACTTACCAGTCGTCATGAGATGTCGGTATTACTTAAACTATGCGGCCCCCAACCATTTAAAGAAAATCTTTTTAAAGTGTATGTTTATACATTGCTGTCAATATATACAATATTTAGCACATTATTGCTCTTATTATTATAACACATTTAAACAAGAGACAGTTCTACCGAGTTGCCACCGCGCTAGAAATTTGTTTAAGAGAGATAAGCAGCCCCTCCTGCCCCCCCCCCCCCCCACCTCGAATCCTCCACACAGCAGTGGCGTAGGAAGGGGCGCGCGGGCCGCCCGGTGTCATCACGGGGAAAAAAAGAGGGGGAAGGTGACAAAATGTTTTTAAAATTTAAAAATTCTGTGTGTGTGTGTGTGTCTGTGAGAGAGAAGAGAGAGAGAGAGAGAGAGAGAGAGAGAGAGAGAGAGAGAGAGAGAGAGAGAGAGAGAGAGAGAGAGAGAGAAGGAGGTTGGAAGGGTGTGGCAGGCTTCTTTGCGCACAGGCCAAATTTTAGATTATTGTCACGTGCTGAGAAAGACGGAAGGACGGACGGACAGACAGACAGAAAGACGGAGGGACGGACGGACGGACGGACGGACGGACAGATAGATAGATAGATAGATAGATAGATAGATAGATAGATAGATAGACAGACAGACAGACAGACAGACAGACAGACAGACAGACAGACAGACAGACAGACAGACAGACAGACAGACAGACAGACAGACAGACAGACAGACAGACAGACAGACAGACAGACAGACAGACAGACAGACAGACAGACAGACAGACAGACAGACAGACAGACAGACAGACAGACAGACAGACAGACAGACAGACAGACAGACAGACAGACAGACAGACAGACAGACAGACAGACAGACAGACAGACAGACAGACAGACAGACAGACAGACAGACAGACAGACAGACAGACAGACAGACAGACAGACAGACAGACAGACAGACAGATAGATAGATAGATAGATAGATAGATAGATAGATAGATAGATAGATAGATAGATAGATAGATAGATAGATAGATAGATAGATAGATAGATAGATAGATAGATAGATAGATAGATAGATAGATAGATAGATAGATAGATAGATAGATAGATAGACAGACAGACAGACAGACAGACAGACAGACAGACAGACAGACAGACAGACAGACAGACAGACAGACAGACAGACAGACAGACAGACAGACAGACAGACAGACAGACAGACAGACAGACAGACAGACAGACAGATAGATAGATAGATAGATAGATAGATAGATAGATAGATAGATAGATAGATAGATAGATAGATAGATAGATAGATAGATAGATAGATAGATAGATAGATAGATAGATAGATAGATAGATAGATAGATAGATAGATAGATAGATAGATAGATAGATAGATAGATAGATAGATAGATAGATAGATAGATAGATAGATAGATAGATAGATAGATAGATAGATGAAAAAAAAGTTTTAGGGCAACGATTGCCGATATCTGCTAAAATTCACCTGAAGCAGAAAAAGATGACGAAGAAGAAGAAGAAGAAAAAGAAGAAGAAGAAGAAGAGGAAGAAGAAGAAGAAGAAGAAGAAGAAGAAGAAGAAGAAGAAGAAGAAGAAGAAGAAGAAGAAGAAGAAGAAGAAGAAGAAGAAGAAGAAGAAGAAGAAGAAGAAGAAGAAGAAGAAGAAGAAGAAGAAGAAGAAGAAGAAGAAGAAAAAGAAGCGGTGGCAGAATTATGATAATAATGATGATATTTATGAAGAAGAAGAAGAAGAAGAAGAAGAAGAAGAAGAAGAAGAAGAAGAAGAAGAAGAAGAAGAAGAAGAAGAAGAAGAAGAAGAAGAAGAAGAAGAAAAAGAAGAAGAAGAAGAAGAAGAAGAAGAAGAAGAAGAAGAAGAAGAAGAAGAAGAAGAAGAAAAAGAAGAAAAAGAAGCGGTGGCAGAATTATGATAATAAGGATGATAATTATGAAGAAGAAGAAGAAGAAGAAGAAGAAGAAGAAGAAGAAGAAGAAGAAGAAGAAGAAGAAGAAGAAGAAGAAGAAGAAGAAGAAGAAGAAGAAGAAGAAGAAGAAGAAGAAGAAGAAGAAAAAGAAGAAGAAGAAGAAGAAGAAAAAGAAGATGAAAAAGAAGAAGAAGAAGAAGAAGAAGAAGAAGAAGAAGAAGAAGAAGAAGAAAGAAGAAGAAGAAGAAGAAGAAGAAGAAGAAGAAGAAGAAGAAGAAGAAGAAGAAGAAGAAGAAGAAGAGAAGAAGAAGAAGAAGAAGAAGAAGAAGAAGAAGAAGAAGAAAAGAAGAGAAGAAGAAGAAGAAGAAGAAGAAGAAGAAGAAGAAGAAGAAGAAAGAAGAAAGAAGAAGAAGAAGAAGAAGAAGAAGAAGAAGAAGAAGAAGAAGAAGAAGAAGAAGAAGAAGAAGAAAAAAGAAGAAGAAAGAAAAGAAGAAGAAGAAGAAGAAGAAGAAGAAGAAGAAGAAGAAGAAGAAGAAGAAGAAGAAGAAGAAGAAGAAGAAGAAGAAGAAGAAGAAGAAGAAGAAGACGAAGCAGAAGAAGAAGAAGAAGAAGAAGAAGAAGAAGAAGAAGAAGAAGAAGAAGAAGAAGAAGAAGAAGAAGAAGAAGAAGAAGAAGAAGAAGAAGAAGAAGAAGAAGAAGAAGAAGAAGAAGAAGAAGAAGAAGAAGAAGAAGAAGAAGAAGAAGAAGAAGAAGAAGAAGAAGAAGAAGAAGAAAGTAGTAGAAGAAGAAAAAGAAGAAGAAGAAGAAGAAGAAGAAAAAGAAGTAAAGAAAAGAAGAAGAAGAAGAAGAAGAAGAAGAAGAAGAAGAAGAAGAAAAGAAGAAGAAGAAGAAGAAGAAGAAGAAGAAGAAGAAGAAGAAGAAGAAGAAGAAGAAGAAGAAGAAGAAGAAGAAGAAGAAGAAGAAGAAGAAGAAGAAGAAGAAGAAGAAGAAGAAGAAGAAGAAGAAGAAGAAGAAGAAGAAGAAGAAGAAGAAGAAGAAGAAGAAGAAGAAGAAGAAGAAGAAGAAGAAGAAGAAGAGGGAAGATTAAGGAAAAGAAGTGACTGAGCTAGAAAAAGAAAACGAGTAAAAGAAGGAGGACAGCTAAAGAGGTTAGTGTTAATTGACCGTTAAAGTGTGTACTGTTTTGTACTTCCTGCAAGACTAGTAACGTCTTAAGTTGAAAGATCGCACATAGTATC